GATTTTCACTCCATGTAACCCCACGAGTACAAGCGGCATCCCCTATTTGTTTGAGGTGAATTGATTTTAAACACATATGTTGAGAAGTATTTGGTTTGATTCACCGATTCAAATGGCTAAACATCAAAATAAAGTTTGTAAACATTTTTTCGGGTTATGGCGAGGTCTTTTTAGCATGCATTATATACACAGATATCAACGGTTGAATCAGCGGATGAAGAGGACTACGCATTACGGACATGCTACAGAAGGCGTCAGGCGAAATTATAACAGATTCAGAGGCAGTCCCTTGCAGTTTCATAACATGGATTATGGATGTCTCATTCCATATTTGCCGCAGAAGAAGGTCATGAAAAAATTACATGCTATCGGCACCTTGTTCTATTCTGATTCTTTTACTATCGACCAACTCTTGCAAAGCCAAACGGTGATAGGAAATGGATGAAGAGTGTGGGTTTTGGTAAAACTGGAAGCCTTTGGTCCTGAACATGCCCGTTGATGGCGAACGCCGGCATCGTAAAGAAAGCGATCGGCATAGAATTTAAATTCTAGTCGGACTTTACGAATAGAAGCGTAGTAATAGATGTTTTTTTTTTTGCGTCTTAGTGGCTTTATTGCCTTTCTTGGAGGTGAAATGATTAAGAACAAAAAAACTTACATGTAAAATATTTTTAAATCTTTCACTACTCTAAATATTACTAACAGAAAAGCGTACAAAATCTTTAAAACTATAAGAGAAAAAAAATCGAACGTCCTGGGTATGACGATAAACCGCATCCGGCAGCAAGGCCTCTGACGTGGAAACACCTTTTAATTGCTATTATTCACAGATTCACCCTGAGACAGGGTGTTAACACCTGTTAGGGTCCCAGCTATTAATAGTTAATCCCTAAATCTTGGGTCAAAACTCTATAAAAGTAAATAATAGGTTTTATAGTAAAAATACCAGCAATATATGTTTGAAAAAAAAAATTACCAGGAATATATATTTTTTAAATTATTACCAACAATACGTTT